AAAAATCCCCAAACCAACTATCCGAACAAGATGAAGCCTCATGAATGTGACATAGAACCTGAGATTTAGGCAAAGTGTTGTTTACGTCTAGACAGCTTTGCCCAATATTTGCTGGATTTCTAAGCAGCTTTTACTTTGAGGAGATGCTCGATATACATGGTATTTTATTTGTTGGCTTTTCATTTGCATGATTTTAAGAGGCAAAGAATTTCTAGATTTGGAAAGAGATGTAGTTCTTCACAACTTAAGCCCCATCTCCAAGGCACCTCTCTTTTGCACTCCCCTCTCCTCTCCAAAACAACACACATCCCACCACCTCAGGGCTTTCCTTAGGCAAAGTGGTTTCCTGATTAGGAACAAATATTTTGCCTAACCTGTTTGTTCTATTTCAGACTCTACTTGCTTCATAGATGTGGTCTTCATTGTGGACAGCTCTGAAAGTTCTAAAATTGTTCTCTTTGATAAACAGAAAGATTTTGTGGCTAGCTTGAGTGACAAGGTTTTCCAACTGACCCCGGTTCGCTCCTTGAAATATGATATCAAACTGGCAGCACTTCAGTTTAGCACCTCTGTCCAAATTGATCCACCTTTTTCTTCTTGGAAGGATCTGCAGACTTTTAAACAGAGGGTCAAATCTATGAATTTCATTGGGCAAGGCACCTTCTCCTATTATGCAATCTCCAATGCCACTAGTTTGCTTAAGAGAGAAGGGCGTAAGGATGGTGTGAAAGTGGCTTTGCTGATGACTGATGGCATTGACCATCCAAAGAATCCAGATGTCAAGAGTATTTCTGAAGACGCCAGAACTGCAGGAATATTGTTTATCACCATTGGACTTTCCACTGTCGTCAATGAAGCCAAACTTCGTTTGATATCTGGGGAATCATCCAGCGAGCCCATTCTACTGTTGAGTGATCCCACACTTGAAGATAAAATTCAAGATCGCCTGGTAGGTACTTGAGGAGTGGGTCTTATATATATATTTCCAACCATAATATTGATACCTTAATTATAAATTCTGTGAGGATAGATACTGGGTCAGAAAGATAAAGGAAAAAGAATCCACCTTGGAAATAGCTAAGAGAATCTTTCCGAAGTCTCTCCACTTCCTTGATAGTTTACACCAGATAAACTGGGAAAGTACCAGAGTTCCTGCTCTGGAATTGCATTCCTAACTTTATTGCTGAGAATGAAGACCACATCTATGAAGCAAGCAATGCTGAGAATTTGGGAAGAATTACTTTCCAGTTATACACTTCAGTCTCCTGTTTATACATCCTGGGATCACGAACACTGCTGACTTATATTCAATTTGTGGTCAACTTGTGGTCTGCAGTATTTGTACTAAGTTGGGTTTTTTCCCCATTTAACATCTGCAGAAACGTTTTGACTCAATATGTCACCTACAGCAATATTATGCTACTCAAGCAAAGTTCATAGACTTCTAATTTTTTCATTATGTCCTTGTTTCTTAGGTGTTCGCAAGCCCACCCAATGTAAAATCACCTGCAACCTTCAGTCACCCAACAGTTTCTCCCACATATCAATGAGTGCCATTTGATTGGTCTGATTAGCTATGTCGATGCTTTTCTTTGCTGATTGCTCAGCTGTGTGTGAGATCCTTTCCTTTCTGCTTGGGAAAACACAAGGCAAAGCAATCAAAATAAAATCCCTCTTCAGAGTATTTCTCAAGAAAAAACTCCTAGAGAAAAAGTGGTTGATTTGTTAAGTGTTAAAAATCGATTTTCCTACAAATACTGATTTTCTTTGATTTCTTGAGAAGAGGGCAAGGCACATGTGTCCCTTATACTAGGCATTTCATATAGCTGTTTTCTATAGGTTGCAAAAAATCTCAGCCTTGTTTCAGAGATTGTTTTGCCCTTTTGTCCCTTCTCCCAATCTTTTTCCTAACATTATTCTTATAAGTTAATAACTTAAATTCTATTTATATTTTATTTTTATATTATATTTATATTTTTATATTATATTTTTCTGTTATATTTATATAACTATTCTATAAGTTAATTCTCTTAAATATTAACTTTAAGATAATAACTTGTAAGTTATTCTTATAACTGTTGTTTTCAGCATGAGACATTAACTATTTTATCTAAATAATAGTTATCATGTCTTGAGTGCTCTCTGTCTTAGCCATTGTTCTGAGTACTTTACTTACATCTTTTATTTTATTCATTATTTTATTTTATTTTGCAACAATATTATGATGTAGTACTATATTATCCTCATTTTATAGTTGAAAATGTAATGCCATGCAAAGGCCCTGAGGTCTTCACAGTTAACCCTATGAAGTTATCTTGAAGGGGGAAAATAGAAACTGTGTTTTAAGATTTTCTCAATCAGCACTGCCTTGAAACAGTTAAGCAACATCCCTCCTCCAAAGCTGCTATTGTTTCTGGTCTCTTTTCCTTGGGCATTGGGAGTAGATAGGGAGAGCTCAGCCCAGGTTGGAGATGGTGATTTCAGTCCCCAGGGGAGTTAGGGGGAGTGCTTACCCCGAGCATCTTTTTTGCATGAAAGGGAAATGTGCAGGGGTACCTGGCTAACTGCCTAGGTCTGTCTGTGCCATAATGTAAACAGTCCTTACCACTGAACCCAAAATAGAAGATTCTAGCATGTGCTGGAGAGAACACTTGAATTGAGATAATGAGTTGCCAGTTGCTGACTATAGAAGTTGCAGGGGAGGCATCTCTTTGGCCAGTTGTGTAGGCTCAGGAGGTTCATACTCCTTCTAGACACATTGTCTTGGCTGAGAGCTCCTGCCCAACTCAGAACACAGGATCTTGGCAGTAGACTTGACACAGGACTATTTGTCCATTTTTGGGGGAAACCATAAAATGATCAAGTGTCCCAATGACCCCGCTCTTGCTTAGCATCCTGTGATTTCAGCTTGTTTGTTCAGATGGAAGCTCTATGAACAAGCCACTTCTCAGGAGATGCTGCTTTCCAAACACTTCCAGCAACCAAAGTGCTTATTAGGCCCTCAAAGAACAATATGCTAAGTTTCAACATTTCCAATTGCCACTATGTGGGAGGCAGAACTTGACTCTTGATCAGGCCATTGGAAAAATTCCTCATCTAATCTATTTCCATTACATTTTTTTTGTTGAATTTTTAAGCTTTTCATTTTGAAATGATTATGTAGTTGACTTTCTAAAAGAAGTTAATTAGGTATAATTTAAAAAAAAATTGCATCTACTTAAAGTACAGAATTCTATGAGTTTTGATAGATGTACACATTCACGAAACCACCAACACAGTTAAGATACAGAACATTCTGCCACGCCCAAATTTCCTCATGCCTCTTTGCACAATATCCTTCCCTTGCCTCTTAGCTCCTGATCTGATTTTTGTCACTCGAGTTTAGTGTACATTTTCTAGGCTTTTATATAAACAAGCTTATGCAGTGTGTACTCTTTTTCTGTCAAGGTTTTTATACCCAGCATGACAATTCTGGAAATCGACTGGGTTGTTTTTTATATCAGCAGTTTATTTCTTTTTACTGAGGAGTAGACTTCAGTTGAATTTAATGGACATGGGTGCCCACAATGAACAGATTTTGCAGGAAGCAAGACAAATCAAGGAATCATTACCAACTCCCTGGTACCTCTAGTAGAAAGTATCATGTAAGAACCCCATGAATACATTTCAACTCTGAATGACCCAAGAGATACCTGATGATTCCACATTGAAGAGGATATGTAAAATGTTTTAATACTATTTTATTATGATTTACATAACAGTATTGAAACCAAGGAAACAATTCCAACCCAATATCCCATACATATAGTTGGTCTTTCAGAAAAGATGTTATGGTGGCTATTTTGCCATTATATTAAGCTGTAGATATTTTTTTGTCACAGTTTGTAATCCTCGCCTATTAAGTTCTTTGTTCTGATCCCATCTGCTACCGTGCCAATACCTTTGCCACCTTCCTCACATGTCCTCTGTCCCCTTCTCAGAGCATTGACCTCATACTCATTCACAAAATTGGCAGTTCCATTCTAGTCTTCTCCTTCCACATATATGCCATCATAGAACTCTGCCTCCATTAATAAAATGCACCTTCTTTCGCTCAAGGGAGGGCTTTTCTCCATTTATCCCTTCCATTTAAACTAGAGCAACCGCATAGATCTTTTTTTAAATTTTTTTAATGTTTATTTATTCTTGAGAGAAAGAAACACAGAGCATGAGCGGGGGAGGAGCAGAGAGAGAGTGAACAACAGAATCTGAAGCAGACTCCAGGCTCTGAGCTGTCAGCACAAAGCCCAACGCAGAGCTCGAACCCACTAACTGTGAGATCATGACCTGAGCCAAAGTTGGACTTTCAACCGACTGAGCCACCCAGGCACCCTCATCTGCCTAGATCTTAACTGAACGTGCCCTTCCCTATGGCTTTGACCACGTTCTCCCAGCTGTATGCTACATAACCTGCCTCTCTGCTAAGTGAAGGCACTCACTACTTCCCAAGGTGTCCAGCTCTGTCCACATGGGCCATTTTGTCCACTCTTTGAAATGTCCCTCCTCACTGCTTCCTTTGTCTTATTGCCCACACTAGTCCTTATGACTTTTTCCTCATAAACTTTGACATATAGGGGAGCATTCCATCAATGAGCTGGTCCTTTGCATTCTTCTTGAAAATTATCCAGAAAACCCACCTATTTCCAGAAACTGTCTTGTTTCCCACCACCCCACCCAGTCTGGGATCTCCTTCCCACGCTGCTTGCTGTGGCTGTTTTCTGTCACTGGGGCTTATAGACTATAAGTGTCCTTAGGGATAGAGCTTTGTTCTTTGTTTGAAACAGTCTTATCTATTGTGTAGTCTTTGGTCTACTTTTGTTTCCATAGAAATACAAATTCCAGCAAACACAAAATCAAATGAGTTCCAAAATTAGTTAGTTATGTTGTTATGGTTTTAAGCCTCATGGCACATATTTTTAAAGAGTTAACGTGGCACAGCAGAAATTAAATTCTCAAAGGAAGAGCTGAAAAAGTGTAAAATTATACATCAGGCATAGTGGCAGCTAAATTCATGAGCTTAAAAACTGATGCTAGATAATAGAAGGGTGTTGCTTATTATAAAAAGGTTGTAAGGTGACAGAACTTTGCATTTTTATTTCTTTCAGTAGTTGCTTTCAAACATTACAATTTGTCTTGAATTATTACTTGTTTATTATATTTTGAACTATTTTCAAATTCCTTTCCCTCTCTCAGGAAAACTAAACTTCTGACATGTGTTCAAAATATTTTCATAATTTGGATCACATTCTATAAATCCCTCTGCAACGTGCTTTATCACTCACTGTCCTTGGGAAATTTTCTATGTTGAAATATGTAGCCCCAATGGATTCACTTAAACTGCTGAATAATATTTCAGTTATTGACCGATTCTAATACTGATGGATATTTTCATTATTTCCAAATTTTCACTATTGAAAATAATGAATGCTGAAATATACAAGTACTTCAAGAATTTCTCTAAGATATGTCTGGAAGGAATGTCAGAGTAACAGGTGGAAACAAGGACTCATCCTGGGCAACCTAGAAATAAAGTATGCACATCTTCAGTTTTCTAGGCACAGCCAAATGTTCTGGAGAGGGGAAATTACACCAAGACTGTCAGTATATCTGAATTCCCATTTCTCCACATGACCTGTTAGTTCATAAAGATACAAGCAGTTCATCTGCTTTCAGCCTGAATTTATACTGGCTGGCTATTTTAAATCAGGAGGGTGGAGAGTGAGGGGGAAGGAAGGGACAAAAGGCCATTGGTGAGACTCTGAGTTTTGTAAATAGGGTGTGTGGCCAGAGGTTTACAGCTCCTGAGACCCCATGGTCAAAATTTCTTATTTTTTGTATTTTTGGAAAATGACCTGGAAGGATTATGTGTCTTGTCCAAAGCCACACAGCTAGTTCATGGTAGACACAGGGTAAAAACTCCAGACGATGCTTAATTCTCAGCCTAATTTTGTCCTCCTATTAGATCCCTAGAACTGCTTAAAGCATTTTGCTACATCTTCGCTCTGTATTATTAGTTTGTATGGAAATAAAGGTAAAGTAAAAATAAAACTAAAGGGATGTGGGGTCCTCCATAAAGGTACAGCTCTGACTTATCTTTAACTTCCTCATTACATTCTTCATTTCTTATCATTTTATTTTTAAGTTTATTTATTTTGAGAGAGAGAGAAAGAATGTGAGCTGGGAAGAGGCAGAGAGAGAGGGAGAGGGAGAATCCCACTGACATTGCAGAGCCTGATCTAGGGCTCAAATTCACGAACCATGAGATCATGACCTGAGCCAGAAGCAAGAGTTGGACACTTAACCAACTGAGCCACCCAGGTGCCCACTTCATTTTTAATATCTTGCAACAAATATTCTAGGGCTTTTTATTTCCATTTTCTATTTTATCATATGAAATTAACCCTTCAGGTCCAGTTGTAAGGCATCAATCTGACACATCATTTCTACATTATGAAAACAATTCTCTCATCTGTAAGCATTGGTTCATTTCTTTCCCATGTTTGGCTTCGGACGTGGCCTTAGTGCCCTCGTCAGATAGTACCTCATTCAGCGGAAGTAGGTCAAGATGTTAGACAAAGACTAGATTGTGAATTTCTCTAAAATTGTGAATTTAAAGGAATTTTGAAAAATATTCTGGCTCATTCATTACTGTGTGGGTAAGTATAAAGTACCACTTGAACTTGTTTAGGTAGCTCCACCCAAGTGTATGACATTGGGCAAGTGACAGCACAGCAGACTCAAGTTTCCTTGAGGCAAAATGAAAGTCTGGACCTGACTGACTTGAAAGGCTTGTTGGTATTTCATGAAATTATCACGCTAAACTTAATGTTTTAATGTTTGAAAAAATGCATGTATGTATAGGGATGGAAAAATAAAAGTAGAGAAAACATACAATTATGTATTCTGGCTAAGTCTTTATAAGTAAAAGTGAAAAGTCTTTATTATGACTGATCAAGCTTGTAGCCAAATTATGGAGATTAGAGAGCTGATTAAGAAAACAAAAGCTAGAACATAGGATGTAACAAGATAAAGTTCCTCAAAAAAGAGTAATTTTTAATGTTAGTGCCCTTCCTGTCTCTTGTGATATGGCTCAGAGTGCTCCTTGGGAGGTTGGCTGGGAGGCTCTACTGCTTTTATAAGGTTAAAAAGACTGAATTGCTATTCTTCTTGAAAATTGCATATCCCATAGAGAATAATTAAGACTAATAAGAAGCTGGAAGCAGAACCATGAAGCGAGTTAATGTTTTATTCTTTTTTCCCTCCTAGGATATCTTATTTGAAAAGAAGGTAAGCACCACATGCTTTGATTACTATGAATTAACTCTAAAAGTTTGCATAATCAAATCAGCATTGTAATTCACATTAGAAGATAAAGAGTGTCTAAACAAAAATGCTTAATTCTTTCTAAAATGAGCCAATTTTGAGGCAGCCATCTGATTTCTTTTATGCTGCTCTATCTACTGCAGATTGGAAAATTTAGAAAAAGTAAGAAATATTTAATATGATTTTAGAGAGTAACTTTAGAAATCAGTGGTGGCCAAAATGCATAATTTTTTTAAAAGATTTTATTTTTAGGTAATCTCTACACCCAATGCAGGGCTTGGACTCACAACTCTGAGATCAAGAGTCACACATTCCACCAACTGACCCAGCCAGGTGCCCCCCCCCCCAAATGGCATAGTTTTTGCTTGTTTTGGTAACACTTCCTTTATTCTAAGCATGTCTCTGATACCAGCTACTCGTGGGGATCCTTCACTTTGGGAGGTGTGTTAGCCAAGATTCCTAGCCCAGAGACACCACTCAGAGTCTCCTGCTGCTGCCCAGGGATTGACTTTAAGTTCATTCTCCTTCTTGTTGGTGGCAACCATACAAAGTGGCAAAGGAAGCTGGCTGATATTGTTTGGATAGTGCTTAGCACAACCGAAGACCACAATGTTGCTGAGGACTTCTATACTGCATATGTGTTTCTTAACACAGAGTTTGGAATATGCGAATTTTGTTTGATAAACTGCTTATTAAACATCAGGAAATGTACAGATAATAGGAGCCAACCAGACCCTGCAGAACACCATGTTTCATCAAATGGTCAGAGACACCATTGTTTTGTGTACCACTGAGATAGGAAAGGACCCTGCCAATTAAGCTGTGATATAGTAACTTCTTATAAATTACAATTCTTGATTTTATACTTATGGTAAGAGTCCCTTTAGATTTATTTAGACATAGAGTTTTAAATCCTGTATCACTTTTGTACATACGTATAAGGGAAAGTAGAAGCAAACTAAATTGGTTATTTCTAAAAGTTCTTCGCATTCAGAGTCTAAATCCTCTGCATGGCTTTTTGTTTCTGAGTCATTGATGCCCTTCCTCCCACCTCCCCCTAATATCAGCTGTGCGCCATCAAAAACACTGGTGATGCAGCATTTCTTGAGTGTGCTCCAGTAGTGTCTCTGGAGTTTTCTTCCATTTCATTCTGTTAAGTTTTGAAGAACATGTGCAGAAAATAACACCTTCATTATGATCAGGCCTGATTCAAATAAGACTCATTCTGATTTCAGACATGTTAAAATAAGGAGAAATGTACATCCTAGAATTGATAAAATATGGTATGCCACATGTTTTCCTTTTTGACTAAAGGAATATTTGATATTTGTATGTTATTGAGCTTTGATGTACTGTATAGAAGAGAAAAGGAAGAAATTCCAAAAATCCACTGAAAATGTTTATTTTCCCTTTTAACTGGCAACTAGATGTTATACATATATTTTTGGTGGGAGGTCTAATTTATCTAACCATGGCAATGTTTAGTAATACTTTATTAGCTGGCTCTTACCAGATCTGAGTTAGCCTAGAAGACTTGAAAAGGGAGAGCAAAAACTCCATAAATTTGCTTGGTAAAATTTCTTCAAGGGAATAAGATTTGAAATGCTGCATTTCATTATGTGTTAATATTGGATTTCATTCTTGACCCAGTGTGAACACAAGATTTGTGAATGTGAGAAAGGGGATCCAGGCGATCCAGGGCCTCCTGTGAGTATGTTTCCACTTTTTTTTTTTTTTTTTTTTTTTTTTTTTTTTTTTGTATGTTTCTACTTTGAACTTACGGTCAAGTCAGGAAGCCCTAGTCATGATTGCTCTACTGACGCTTGAAATCGCAGGACTGTTTGATGCTGTTGAAAAGAAGTTGTGGGGCGCCTGGGTGGCTCAGTCGGTTGAGCGTCCATCTTCCTCTCAGGTCATGATCTCGCTGTTCATGGGTTGGAGCCCTGTGTTGGGCTCTGTGCTGACAGCCTGGAGCCTGCTTTGGATTCTGTGTCCCTCTTTTGCTCTGCTCCTCCCCCGCTCATGCTCTGTCTCTTTCTCTCTCAAGAATAAATAGAAAGAAAGAAAGAAAGAAAGAAAGAAAGAAAGAAAGAAAGGAAGGAAGGAAAGCAGTTGTGTGCAAATAGCAGCAAACACGGAAATGCTGTTTTTTTCTTTTATTCCTAAGGGGATACACTCTGTCCTTACAAACAGGCCTGGGATTTTCCTGACCTGAACTGAACTGAGGGCAGATTTGGTTTAAAATGATGAAGCTGTTCTCACAAAGGATATTTCAGGATCACGTCTGATGTGACAATTGGGGCCAGAATTTCTCAACACTGAAGTGAAAACAAAGAAAAAGGTCATACAAATCCTTGGTGCTTTAGGGAAAGCTTTATCCCACTCCACCTAAGAACAAGTGACATGGATCTCTCTGGAAGCTAACTGTGACTTCACATGTATCCAGAGCAACACTGTGTGGGCCTCTCAGGGAGGAAGCTGGTCAGGAAGCTTTGGGGATTAGAGTGAATCCTGTGAAATGGAACTTGGCAACTAAAGGTTAAAGGCAGGATTTACTATGATGATTCAATACTTGATAAGATAATCCCAAAAGGAGTGTTTCCTTTATATTCTGGCCTAACATCTGGAAGGTACCATCTAGGTACTGGGAAGGGACTTGAAAAAACATCACAATGGTAGAGATACTATATATTTCTCTAATACATTTCATTCTGATGCATCCATGCTGCTCATTCAGTATTCCATTTACTTATGTTGTTTCAAACCTTTGAGGTCATAAGCCCAGTGGACATATCTCACAAAAATGCATTGATACAGTTTTTGAACGAATGCTTGTATTTGGGGGCAGGGAGCGGAATGTGCACTGTGAATTGCTTAGACTGTGCACATTTTCTCTTGAGACTTGGGTCCAAAGACTATATTTTTTCAAACCATTCTATCAATTGAGGCATTAGAAAGCAGGAGGGTCTGTCCTTTATTTTTTTTTCTCCAAAATGTAAGTTAGATATGTTATAGGATAATGTGGCAGCCAGTAGAAGCTGATTTGGACCAAAGCAAAGGTTTAAACTTCCCCTTCTTATAAAGTCTTCACTTATGTTTATTACACCAAGAGGTTTTCTGGGAAGGTGTACTTGGGATATTCAATGTTTTAGAATGAACTGTAAAGAAAATTTACTAGTTGCTGAGCTAATCTGACAATTTTAGTCACTCAATATTGTTAGAGATTAATGTACCATTTTTTAACGGAAGTAGAGTTGACACACAATGTTATATTAGCTTCAGGTGTTCAACAGAGTGATTCAATGAGTTTAAACATGATGCTGTGTTCACCACAAGTGCAGCTACCATCTGTCACTATACAGCACTATTACAATACCATTAACTATATTCCCTATGCTGTAACATACCTTGTTTTAATAGAGATAGACACAAAACTATGTCATTTAGCATTTACTGAGTCTCCCTAAAAACTCTCAGAAAAGCCAGCTTTATGGCGGTTGAGAATGGGAAAACAAAACGCCTTTCTGGAACAGGATTGGAGCACTCTCTTCTCTCATATTTTCTTCTTCTTCTTTTTTTTAAATTTTATTATTTTTCTTTTTATTTAATTATTTTTTTAGATAATTTACATCCAAGTTAGTTAGCATATAGTGCTTTCAGGAGTGATTTCAGGAGTAGATTCCTTAGTGCCCCTTACCCATTTGGCCATCCACCCTCCCACACCCCTTCCAGTAACCCTCCGTTTGTTCTCCATATTTAAAAGTCTCTTATGTTTTTGTCCCACTCCCTGTTTTTATG